AGACCCTTCACCAAAAGGATGATGGAGCAAACTCACACTGGCTACTACCATTAAAGAGATGATAGAGCAAACACTCGCACGATCTGACATCAACAAGATGATAGACCCACCACCAAAAGGATGACGGAGCAAACTCAAACCGGATACTACCACCAAAAGGATGATAGAGCAAAACACTCGCACAATCTGACATCAAAAAGATGACAGACCCACATCCAAAAGGATGATGGAGCGAACTCACACCGCCACAACCAATCTACCAACTCAAACCATATTTTCTGACCTTCTCGAATCTCCTCAAGAATACTACTAGTAAGTTCTAATACACACGGCTTAACTCCATAACAAGTCTCTTCATAGACCAAACTTGTATCGCCAAACTGCTCAATCGGTTCTAACTCTTTTCACCATCATCATCGTTACCGGTGAGGTTTTCAAATCTTATCATCAGCTACCACGTTATATACCGAAAACACACAGTATGATAACACATCAACCGCACCCGTTCACGACGGTAAAATTGCCAAAATGACACGTTTCGAATATTCTGCTATAATTGGCTCATTCACTGACTCCAAAACCGTTTTTCCTAGAAAGATCATCTCGTTAGCTTCCCGTCACTTCGAACGGGAGTCAAAACCGACATACGGTTCAAGAGTTATGAATTTTCGAAGTTTTCCGAAAAACATTTGGTTCATTTGTATAGCTATAACATTCCTAATGGTCTACAAGAGCATTTGGAGGTATTTTCACATCAAATTCTTCATACGAATCGAATAAAACTTTTATTCGCAATTCATGTTCAATAGTGTCTTTTTTTCATTATTACAGATTGATGCTCATGATGGTAGTGTTAATGACTTGTCATTTTCATATCCAAACAGTAGACTATGTATGGTAACTTGCGGCGATGATATGTTAATTAAGGTGACATAGAAGTTTCTAGTCTAGAATAAATTCTATTTGAATGTAACTTGAAATTTTGCTAATTGAAGAGTGATACATGCAGGTATGGGATTTGGATGGACATATGATGTTTATCTTCGAAGGTCATGAAGCACCTGTTCATTCAGTTCTTCCTCATGCAAAGGAAAATATCCACGTTAAATTCTTCAGGTTCTTCTTAAGACTGTTTTGAATCAAAATACTTCCGAGTTGAATATAGAGACTTTGGCAGCTTTGATATCAACTCCTGCAACTGATGCTAACAGTGTCTTACGTTCTTCTACATCAACACATGCTCTAACTAATGATCAAGTAAGATTTGTTACATTCCTATGTTTTAAGAGATTTTATATATGTGGATTATTTACTTGGAGTGGATTATTTTATTTTTGATCCTTCGAATAATAATCTTATTTAAGTTATATTATTTTTATTTAGCAGGTCATGAATGATAATATCAATGAAGATTTTGAATTTGAAGATGAAGAAATATAGATGTAGATGTTTAAGTTTAATTTTATAGATTAAAGATGTTATTTTGACTATGAGTGATTATTGACATTGGGATCGATATGTAATTTGAAGATGTTTTGTTGACATTACGATATGTAATTTGAAGATGTTTTGTTGTTGGATCATTTTCAATTTGAAGATGTTTTGTATTTGAATATTATTATATAAAAAAATTTTGAATGATGTTATTATCAGGTTTAAAAATAAAATAAAAATTTATTTTATTAAAAAATAAATAAATTTATTTGGTTTATAAAATAAAATAAATTTTTTTGCAACAGTTACAAAGTGTGTCTGTAGTAAAGAAGGCGTTGCTATAACCTATGAAGAAAAATTGAACTTAAGCCTCTATTAGAACGGTTTAGAATAGGCTACGGCTAAGAACCGTTGCTATATTCTATAAAATAGTCGTTCTCTAATAAACAACAATTGCAACGGCTTAAATTTGAAAACGGCCTCCAGCTGTTGCTGTTCTAGGTCGTTCTCTATATAAAATTACAGCAACGACTCTGAACAAGGCGTTGTCGTTGGCTAAACAATCGTTCCTAAAGGCTAAAACAACGCCTTGGTTTAGAACGCCCTGAAAACCGTTCTCATATGTAAAGGCAACAACTTTTTTGGATTTTGCAACGGTTTTTTTGAGTTGCTGTATATTCAAAATGTTGTAGTGTAAATTATTTTGTTATAAGTAGCTAATGTACTCAGGTTAATTTTCATTCATGTGAACTGTGTGGATTTATCAAGACCCTATGTTAGGTCTTTGTGCAATCTATGCTTTTAATTATTCATTTTCATATTCAGTTAATATTTGTTTTTATTTCTTTAAATGTGTTTTGGAGTGTCCATGTATCGATTCAGATTCATGTTGTGTAATAACCCTAATTGTGTGAATCAGATCTAAGTTAACTAATCTACCTAATAACTGAGCTAGATATACGAAATTATAAGGTTGTGACTTAGGGTTTGACAAACGAACATTGTCTGTTTTAACTATCAAATTTTTCTAAAAGATTATGGGATTATAACTTGAAATAGTGAGGTATACACCAAGATATTGAGTATACTGGATTAGTTCGACAGTCGTGGTAATTGAATTAGTTATCATAAGTTAGGTAGATGCTAGCATCAACAAAGACGTACAGGGGATTCATAAGTAATGTAAATGAAGTATCAAAGATTATATTTGTATCAATTATATATAAAGCTTCACCTAAGCTATAGTAGTTACAGATTGTTAAGTTAGTTTGCAATCATTGAATTTGTCAGACACTCACTTAACCTCTTATTATCATATAAGTATCTGCTGTCATTATTGAATCATATTAACTTATTTGGTAAACACTTAGGAATTAGAGATGAAAATACATATCACATGTAATAAGAATCATCACTACTACTAACCATATTTTTGATTCTATTGTTTCTGATTTTACAAGCTATATCTATGTTTGTACATTTTTGTGCTAATAAAAATAGAAAATTCACACAACATTTAAGACTTGAATCTTTCTCATGTCTAGACAATCACAATGCAATAAGTACTACACTAACAACATCCACTAATTTTAATAGCAGGGGAGAATAATAAGTCATGATTTTTCCCCTGAGCAGTTTAGAATAACAACAATCATGATGCAATAATTAAAAGCAGTGCTAGATAGATGTAGATAATGACTTCATAAGAAAAACCACCCCATTTCCCTACAACCCATCCAACTGTACAAAACCCTTTTGAAAAATCCAAACATTAATTAACATTAAAGTTAGAACCCTCAACCCCAAATAAAAACATAGAAAATAAATGCAAAACAAGATATTACCTGGTTTTAAAATTTGAATTAAGAAGCAGAAACAATGGTTGTATTGAAGTGTTCTATGTTGAGCAAAAAAATTCAAAAGTTCTGCAGTGAGTAAAGTGAAACAATTAAAATTACGGAGAAGCTAACAAGCATACACTAATCTATACGAAGAAATACATTGTAATAGTGATAAATTGGAGAAGTTTCTTCCACCGATAATGCTTAGAGTTTTTGGTTCTTAAGAGATGAAAAGCAGTGGAAAAAGGAAGAGGGAAAGGGTGAAAAGTACCTGATGAACACGAAATACATTGAATCAATGATCTTCCAGTTGGTTCACCCCATCTTTGAACTATCTAACAAAGAGATAAAAAATCGTAAGAGAATCGAAATCATATTGAACCATGAAATCAGAAGAAAAAGTACATGATTTTTTGATTTTTCGTACGAAGATGATCTTCCAGTTGTTTGATTCTAGATTAATGAAATCGTAGGAGAAAGAGTTTAGGGTTTTCAGAAAAATGTAAGAGAAAGAAAAAGGGGTAGGAAAAGAAAGAGGGAAAGAGGAAAAAGAAGAGAGGGAAAATAAATTTTGGGATATTATTGAAAAAAACCAATAAATAAATACATTTAATAAGTAAAAATTTCAATTAAACCTGATAGTTTAGTTGGTTAAAACATTAACATGTATTCTAAATGTCTTGTGTTGTGTTCGAATCCTCATTTCGAAGCTAAAATGCAATTTTCTAGTAGTGATTGAAGATAGATGTCTATTATGGTCCAATGGAGTTTTAAGTATTAAATTGCAATTCTCGTTAAGGCGATCTTTTAAGTATTACTTCGACACTATTAATACACTTACCGATTGGTCAACAACAATGCATACAACTTTTGACAAAATGCTTACAAGTTATGTCGATAATAATTATGTTTTGATTCGTTGGTAGTTTCTTTGTTGTTTATGATACTGTGTATCAATATATATATATATATATATATATATATATATATATATATATATATATATATATATATATATATATATATATATATATATAAGATTTAAATAAGGTTGGAGACCTGGAGACAAGATTAAGAAACACATGGCTTTTGCATAAGAAGACGTAACACGAAGTATATGAAACCTAAGTTTAGTAAAAGAAAAATCACATTTGGTTGTTATTGTTGTTGGTGGTGGTAGGTTTGATAAAACCAAAGTGAAATATTAGATCTCATAACGGTTGGAAACTATACCTGATGTGAAGTATTGTTTTTGATCTCGGTTGATTGCCTGATGTGAAAAAACAATGACTTACCACCTCATACACACCTAACATGGGAATCTCAATAAATTTGAAATGTGTAAATGCAACAAAGAGAGCATAGAACACAATAAAAAGAGTAACGATAGAATTAAGTGCAAAAGGCACAAATTACATTTTTCAATCCGGAGATTAAATTACGATAGTGCTTTAAGATTGGAAGTAAGTTAAAAATCTCAAATGTGAAATGTAGAGTACAAATGACTTACAATAAACTTATAAAGCAAGTTAACAAGTAGCCTTATTCTAGTTGCATACATGATCTTAGTTGGATGAACTTACCATTATGCATGACTCATGGCTACATTCATTACACAAAGAGGAGGGTACATAAAACTGATCAAAGAAACATAAAGAAAACATGGAAGAAAACATAGAAATACATAGCTCTGCAATGGCAAATGCCCACCATGAATGAAGGCAGCTAAACCTCAAGACTGGGGACATTCTTACCACGGGAACACTTGTAGGTAATAACCATTTCCATTGGCTCGTCACAATGTGGACAGTAAATAATGTCTGGGTTTTTTCGGCCAAAATTAAAAATCTCAAGGTTAGAGCAAATATACTCCTTTGTAGGAACAACATCTTTATGATGTTCTGTAAATGCGACGTCAAATCCCTTTTCGACCACGACACCTCTCCATTGGTCAATCTCTTCTATTGTCTTGGAAATTGTAGTCTTATGACCAACAGCAGTGACAGTAGACCCTTTGATTAAAATTGCCCATCCTGTCTCATTCTTGTAAGAAAGCAACTTCTCAACCTGTTGTTTTACAATGGTTGTTTCCTCATGCATTTTGATGAAAACCAAACTCTCTACCTTTTTCCAAAATTTGGTAACCACATTTTTCTCATAATTCTCCAAGCAAAACACATCAAGTAAAGTATTTGTGTCCTTAATAGTGGTACTAAAGTTAGTGAGTTTTTCAGTCCATTCCTTATTTTCACCTCCATAAATGATGACATATTTTTTCTCCACCTTGAGTTTTCAAAGGAAACATGAAATTGATTAGGTATATGATGAGATTTAAGATTTATGAGTTTTCAAATGAATATAAGGTTTATGACCACCTAAATACTTACCCATTCAATATTTATATCAATGTCAACAACCAGGGAATCAAGAACGTCCCACTCTAATGTTGGGCTCATTGTTTCTTCTTTGGATTTGTAGAAAGGGAAGCCCCTTATCCCCCAAACTTGAATCATATGAAATGCATTTGGATGTAGAATCTTTCCTTGTGGGCTCAACACAACAACCATAGGCTTCTGTTTGAAATGCAATTCCTTCCTTATGTATTTGATGCCTTTTATAGGTGCAAAGTGATTCACCACATACCAAGGCATCTTCGACTTCAAAGATTCAAATGTTTTATGCATCCCATCATCCCATTCCTCCACAATGGGAACCCACACAATCTTGTGCTGGTTTCCTTTTTTCTTTATATGTTGATCAATTTTAATCAACATTGAGATGTCTTCTTGGCTGATTTCCAGGGTTGAAATGAACAACAACACATCCTTCTTCTTCAACTCTTCAATATGAACCTGTTTAATTATATATATATATATATTCAAACATATTCTAAATATATTAAGCAATTTAGGATATCATAAATACTAACCTGTTTTTCATCCAAAGTCAAACCATCATAGATGACAGGTTCTTTTGGAGTGTCTTTCCAGAAAATCAACACCTTAAGTACTTCCGTAATTTCAGTTGGGATTTGAAAGAGTCCGCTGAGTAACTTGTTATACTCTGCTTCACCTGAGAGTTCAAATAGTTTCCTTGAATAGCAAGAAAATACTAACAAATTAAGACTTCAAATAATTTTTTTCGATAGGAAGAAAATACTAACAAATAGTTTCCTTGAATAGGAAGAAAATACTAACAAATAGTTTCCTTGAATAGGAAGAAAATACTAACAAATAGTTTCCTTGAATAGGAAGAAAATACTAAGAAAGAGTTCAAATAATTTTCTTAAATAGGAAGAAAATACATATATAAATATAACTAAAGTGTGGCAAACTATTTACGAATCTGTTGAATGCATTGAGACTTGTGCTTCTCCAAATTGTTGATTATTATGTTAATCCTTTGGCCAAATTGAGATAAGTCCTTCCTCTTATCCCTTAAAATAAAATACGTATTAATAATTAGTAACTAGCTAACTTAGCAATATATGAACAAGGTTTCAATAATAATATTAAAGCTTACGAATCAGTAGTGAGACATTCAATCTGGGTAACAATTGCAACAATGGTGATGATAACCCAAAAGACATTAACTGGGATTTGTTCCAAAGCTGGTGCAAGAGCTGGCACGTCCCTGATGTCATGACTTGAGTTGAGTCTTGTCAACTCAAGGATTATATCAACCAATTTCAAAGTTGCCTTGATCAGATTGTTGATCTCCAAAATTGCATTGTGGTGTTTTTTGAGGGATTCAGGTTTTGTGAGTTGAGGCACTCTCTTGATTATGCCTAATGATTTTGCAAGCGGTTGTGTTGGTAGATATTGTGATAGCCAGAACTCTCCATATTCAATAGAAAAAGCAGAAAGAGTAAGCACTCCTTTTGAAACCCATGAATAGTTTGACAGCTTGTTTAAGATTGCTAGTGTTGTTTTCATAGCTATTTCCTCATCTGGTGTCTTGCATGCCATCTGCACCACCGTCATACACTTCCATGTTATAAGTTGATATTGTAAAACATTCACTATTTGTTATATATATATGAAATACCTCGGAATTAATTTGCTTCAAAATACACAAGGGTGAAGTGAAGCAAGCAGGGGTGTTAATGTTATCTAATTGCTCCACAATTGTTTGATTTCCCTGTAAATAATCAAACACACAAGGGTGAACAAGTGCATAACTAAAATTTGAAAATAAATTAATATGATTATATACATAACTAAAATTTGAAAATAAATTAATATGATTATATACATACATGCACAACAACGTTATCAACCACATTGGTTGAACACGTAAGGATGTTCCTAGCAATGTTGAACAGAGTTTCAGCATCAAACTTGATGTCACTATAGACATGGGTTGAACAAATCACCTCCAAAATCTGCTCATCAGACATGGTTGATGGGTTATGCTCACGACGTTGTTTTTTATAGCTTATAACTGTCATTGCTTCACAAAAGAAAAATATGCAATAAACTAGTAGTAGCAGTAGTAGTACTATATGCTTTTGATTGTGTTTTTTGTGTTATCTTTAGGCCCTATTTATAACCTTGAGAGCGACAAGCTTTTATTTTTTAACTAAACTAGTTGTATCCCCATACTAATATTTTATATTCACTACATTATTCACATGCTTCACGTCCTCTCTTAATTATTTTTTTCCTTTCAAATCTAACTATTAATTAAACTTCAGACTCCTTAAAAAATTACATCTCATGCTTTTTTTTTTTGCATTCCATATGGTATCAAGATATCGAGCTAAATTCAATGATGACAACATCTAAGGTCAGATGGCGTTCAATAAAATCATTAAAAACGACCATGGATTTTATCACGACATAAAATAATTTTTTACTTATTCTTTCTTATTTCTACTTTATTCTTTTCTTTTCTCAACAAAAATTATCTTACTACTTTGAGAGTCATGAAATTATTGTAATACACTCAAGAGAATATTGTCTCTTGTGTAATATCATTAAAGGAATTTTTTGTATGGTTCTCGACATGAACTAGTGAAAATCTCTGTTTCGTTCCTGAGATTAGCCAATTAAAATCTCTATTTGGTTTTTGAGCTCAGTGTGTTAAACCATTATATCGATACTACAAATAACACACTGTAGCTGCAAAGTTGCAGTTTGTACAGAGCTTACATGTTCTTATGTAGCTTGTGTTAGTTTATGATCAGTGGTTTTTACACTACTACAAAAAAGCTATTTAATAGCGTTTTTTTTGCTTTTTGATAGCGCTTAAAAGCGCTATTAATTATGCCGCTATTGTAAAACAATATTTTTGATAGCGCTTTAAAAACGCTATTATAGTACTGGTAATTAATAGCGTTTTTCCAAAAGTACTATTATAGTACGAGTATTTAATAGCATTTTTCCAAAAGCGTTATTATAATACACATATTAAATAGCACTTTCAAACAAAGCGCTATTATAGTACCAGTAATTTGCTTTAATTTTGTTAGCAATTTCAAACAAAGCGCTATTATAAGACACATATTAGATAGCACTTTTCCATAAAAGTGCTATTATAGTACGTATCATTAATATCACTCTCTCTTCAAAACGCTATTGTAGTACACTTTTTTTTACACAAAATCATTCTTTTGGTATATATATATATATGGCATTTGCATTTTACGACATTAGAATTTATAAAATAATAATGACAAAGCAGCTAAAATATTTGAAATTAAAATAATAATGATTATGTATTGATTATTAATTTGGCTAAGAGTACTTCAAACCAAATTCCAAACAAAAAGTACAATCACTTAGCTAGGGATATTCTCTAAACTAATAAAAAAAACATCTAAAAAACAAAAAAGGACAACAAAACAACATCATGTAGCTAGTAACCACTTTGCGAACCAAAGCACTGCTACATCCAAAGATACAACCACTTTGTCTCTCTGCCACATCTTCAAGTTGTTGCAAGCTCTGTGTCACTTTTTCAGATTGTTCTTTCTCGGCCACTTCTTCGGTTTTTTGCCTCTCTATCTTCTCTCTATCTAACTTATCTCTCTCCAGCTTCTCTCTCTCTAGCACCTCCAATCTACTTTTGAGTGTGTTGCAAATGTGCTAAACCTCAATCTACACAGCGTAATTCATCAACAGTTGATCCATACATTACCTTTCTACAAGTCAACATTGGTTTATCTGAATAAAAGGGTGGATATCCCACTAGCATTTCGTACATTATAGTTAAAATCTCAGTGTGTTAAAAGATTATATCACTACTACAAATAACACATCGTACCTCAGTTGTGAAATGACTTTTACCTCGGTTACACAAGCGAGGTAACAAAGGGTGACATGATAACTTCTCATTTTTTCCTCGATTTTTTTAAACTAATGTTAGAAAGTAAAAGGTCATTAGTTCATTTTCTCCTCTCGGTTTTATTTTTAAAAAACAAGGTAATAAAGTATATTCTTACCTCGGTTTTAAGTGATAACCGAGAGGTTAAATCTTATTTATTGTCATATATAATTTATTTCAAATCGCATTTTCACTGGTTTGCATCATATTATTTTAAATCTTTTAGACATAGAATACCAATTTTACATTATTTTAAATTTTATTTTTACAGACCTATATCATATTTTATACAGAAACTACAAAATATATGACAAAATTGGAATATATCATATTCTTTTAAACCTTATAAACACAAATTAACACATTTTTATCATTTTCAAAACCAAATGTGCAAATTTACATTGTTCTCATCGAGACAGAATGCATCATTTACATATTCGCACATAAAAACGAAAAAAATCTCAGTAGATATACATTAAGATTATAACAATCAAGAAAAATTATTGTTGTACATTTGGTTTTGAAAATAATAAAAATTTAGGTAGAACAGAGTGCAACGAGTAAAACACAACTATTGCATTTTTCCTCTGTCATATAAGAACTAGTTGTTAATGTTCACTGCATAAGCATTCAGAATAATTAATAGTATGTATAAAATTAATTTATAAATGAAATCACAAATTAATATATACTTACTTGCAGTCAAACGGGGCCAAATAACATTCTTTTCTCTCATTCAACTTTTCCTGTACGGAAACAAAGATATTGTTTCCTTTCGAACCGCGAGCAAGACCAAGCAGCGATGGATCTAAGAAACAATACTTATTTATATTACTTTCAACACAGAAATAATGCATGAATCTGCAAGAGACAAATTTTTATGTTAAAGTGCAAGAACATATGAATATAAATAGAATCCAACATAAAAATTATACTTACGAGCACCAAATTTATAATATGGAATTGTCTAGGTACTCACCCCCCCCCCCCCCTCAAAAATTCATAAATATAATCCTTAAAATCTCTATTTGGTTTTTGAGCTCAGTGTGTTAAAACATTATATCGATACTACAAATAACACATCGTACCTCGGTTACACAAGCGAGGTAACAAAGGGTGACATGATAACTTCTCATTTTCTCCTCGATTTTTTTAAACTAATGTTAGAAAGTAAATGGTCCTTAGTTCATTTTCTCCTCTCGGTTTTATTTTTAAAAAACAAGGTAATAAAGTATATTCTTACCTCGATATTAAGTGATAACCGAGAGGTTAAATCTTATTTATTTCCATATATAATTTGTTTCAAATCGCATTTTCACTGGCTTGCATCATATTATTATAAATCTTGTAAACACAAAATACCAATTTTGCATTATTTTAAATTTTATTTTCACAGGCTTATATCATTTTTTATACAGTAACTATAAAATCTGTGATAAAATTGAAATATATCATATTATTTTAAACCTTATAAACACAAATTAACAAATTTTTATTATTTTCAAAACCAAATGTGCAAATTTACAGTAGATATACATTAAGATTATAACAATCAAGAATAATTATTGGTGTACATTTGGTTTTGAAAATAATAAAAATTTAAGCAGAACAGAGTGCAACGAGTAAAACACAACTATTGCATTTTTCCTCTGTCATATAGGAATTAGTTGTTAATGTTCACTGCATAAGCATTCAGAATAATTAATAATATGTATAAAATTAATTTATAAATGAAAACAAAAATTAATATATACTTACTTGCAGTCAAACGGGGCCAAATAACATTCTTGCAGTTAAACCATGAAAACTCAGCTCGTGTTATAACGTGAAAAATAATAACGACATATCATACAAAACGTGCAAAGATCGCTACGTATTTGGACAGGAAGCCAATAATTTCCAGCTCAGACGTCCTGGACTTTTCCTATTTTACCCCTTTGCCCTCTATAAAATATCATTCTCCGAAACTCCATGGGGGGCGGCTTCACCGTAGATCCTCCTTCAACCCTAAATTTTCTTTCACAAAACCAACTTTCATCCCAAGATCGATTCCAAAAATTCAACACAGAAAAGGGAGAACAAGAAACTCTACTAAGAACGATCCGTAAACCTCTCTTTTGCCTCATTTCCTTCCTCATCGTTCATCCTCAACCTTCCTTCACAAACCTTCAACAACCTTCAATTTAACCTTAACTCAAAACCTACTCACAGAATCATTCGACAAGCTTTTATTTTTTAACTAAACTAGTTGTATCCCCATACTAATATTTTATATTCACTACATTATTCACATGTTTCACGTCCTCTCTTAATTATTTTTTTCCTTTCAAATCTAACTATTAATTAAACTTCAGACTCCTTAAAAAATTACATCTCATTATTGATTTGATCTCTAGCTATTCTTAATGTTTGTCCTGTCGAACAAACAAGGTTTGATTTTCGATTAACGAGTAGGAAGAACCGCCATTGTTAATGCTTTACTTAGGATCATTCTATAGTATATATCACCTAAGACTAGGGATACCCTATAGAAACTAAAACATTCTTGATAATTGATTGCTTAATTTTATCTGTAATTCTCTATGGACATAGAAATTAAGGTGAATGATTAAAGATTTTCTCACTAAAGACTTAGGAGAAAACATTATAAAGAATCGGTAATTAGTTAGTTAAAATAAGTTGTTGCAGTGTAATTTAAAGTTGTTACTGAGTCAGATCACACACCATCTCTAGCATAATTTACTCATATATTTTCTAAATCACTCAAATACTTTCTTTATTTTTATGCAATTTTTTTTTGTAATTCCACCAAACAATCCTCAACCCCCAAGTACTTTTTGTTTAATTGAATTGAATTAAGAACTCTATATTGTCAAGCAGTCCTTGAGATCGACATTCAGGGAAATTCCCTTTTATTACTACATTGGTAAATAGTACACTTTCTATTTTTCCTATCAGTTTGTGATGTTAGACCTGATGTCTTGACAATATGTTGTCAGATGTGTTCTTTTATGTTGACAGTATTATGCTTGGGTTTCTTTGTTTCTGTTTTATTTCCGTTGTGCATATCTCTGATGTGTGCTAAGGTTGTTTTAGCCAAAACTTTTCAAAGGGGGAGATTGT